AAATACTAGAAATAAATGAGGTCTTTTGCAAGGTAATTCAGACTGAATGGTACTGGGAAAGTCAAAAATCATCTAACTCAGGGCATGAAATAATTGCCCCTGAGAGCAACAGGCAAGATTATTACATGCCTGTACAAAATTTGAATCCCACTATGGGAAGAGTTCAGACACATTATGTGAAGACTTTGCTCTCTAGAGAAGGTTCTAGTACCGGAAAACCTGGAACTTAAGAGAAGACAATGACTGGCAGCAAGGTGGATGCACTATTTAACAGGGGTGATAGATACTGTATTCCATTGGAAGACTTGAAAAGACCAGATTAAGGACAGATTATCAGGGAGAAAATCTAACTATGTCAACACTGACTGGATGGCACATACTCAATAATCAATGGGAAGAATAATGAAGGCTTCCAGACCAGTTTGAAAGAGGTCAGTCATGGTGCTGATAATATAGTGCATAAAGCAAGGAGATTAGTTAAAAGCTATTGTGCATTGAAGGATGGAAGGCATTTATATTATTTCTATATAGGGATGATCCACATTTAATTCAAACTGAATTCCTGACTACCCTTCTGATCTTGAAACAGCATGCTGAGTAAAATCTAAAATGGATAGGAACTTACATTGTCTAGAATCTGAAATAATGTCATTAATTTGGTACTATGCTGAAGGCCTTTAGAGATATACATTAATTACTATTTGTGCATTATATATTTCAAGAGTTGTAAAGGAAATCATACGAAAAAGGGACATCCATCCTCAGTGTGACTGTCACAAATCTGGAATGTCCATTTATTTCAGTCAATAAAAATGATAACTATACAGACAAAAAACCCTGCTGAAACCATTCTATGAAATTTTAGTGAAAATAAATCAGCCAGAAAGCAAGTTTAAAATTGCAACCTTGGACATAAGGAACATGGGTGCCTTGGATTTAATGCAATCCTCTATGTCTCATGTACCCACATATACGTACAGTAAAACGGCAGATGTTCTGTGAATGTTTCTATTGTTTCAATGTTTCTTCATTCTTATTAGTGATATAAATTTATTGAAAAATAATTGAGATATATAATAGGCTCCAAGTTATTCCTGTCTTGCCCTACATTTTGTGTGTACATTTCACATTACTGTTATATGATTTCATGAAAGCAACCCTGATATAGAAAACAGAAATGAGAATAGTCCTTCTAACTTTTGGGCCTCTAAATACTGTATATTTAATCTACGACTCCCACCTTAACCTGTCCTACCCAGGAATTCTACAAATTATAACTCTATTTCATCTGGAGAATGTTACAGTAGGTTAGAGACGGATGATGTAGAATAAAGATTTTTATCATATAATACAGGAACTCCTTAAAGAAGAGTAGAAATAGAAAAGTCTTCCAAGAAATGAAAGCAATCTAAAAAAACAAAAAACGTGAGCACATATATGTGAGAGAAACACATTATGCTATTTTATATTGGATGAATTAAAGCTAGTTTTATAAAGACCAGTCAATACTGTATCAACAACTATAATTTAAATATTAATATGAATAGCAATAATATAGAAATAAAATTAATGACCACCCATTAATTATTCCATCAGAAATACGTTGGAAAAAAGGTTTTCACTCTCTACTCCAGAGCCTCCAGCAAGCAACTGATCTGTTGCAAGGAAAAAGCTCCTGGAGCAGCTTTTAGTATACATTTTACTATAATACTTAACTAACAGCAAGAGTAATTTCAGATAACATTGTGATTTAAGTTCAATTTCCAAGTAATTTTATTTAAATATCTATAATGTAGTTGCATTCGGGAGGAAGATAGAATAAGTACTGCATCAACTATGCAATTTAATAAAAGCATTCATAAAATGAATATACACTTCAGTCCTTATCTAGGAAGCTACAAATCATTGTTTTGCATTGGTTTTCATTCTTATTTACTTATTAGAAAAAAGGCAGACAGTATTAAAGCTACCCCAATAAGGTATTATTTGGCTAATTTCTTAGGGATGATTTACGTCCTAGTTTTTAGAACTTAATTTTGTATTTATCATCTTACAAAATAATCTGTTTATTTAAAGAAATAGAAAAGTATATATCATAGTTAGTTATAGAATATTGGGGGAACTGGTGAAGGAACCAAAATGTCTCATAGAAATTAATATTCTTGCTCTACAATCATTTGTCTATCTATCTGTACAGAATGAGATATATTCACAAACTCCATAAACTTGCACATTAAGCCTAATTTCAAATATACCTAGCTCATATTATACAAATCCTTCTAAAGTCTGATAGCTCCAAATTGTTCATTATGGATATGTCCATTATGGATATATCCATAGTCCATTTTGGATATGTATAGACCTTAACAGCACATAATAACCTGGGCTGTAAATTAATATTAACTAGCAGAATGGATTTCTTTCCCTTATTCTCAGAAAGGGAATCCATATGGCCTTTTTTCTGTGCTCAAAAAACAGTTTGTGTAGTTCTCCTAGTCTTTGATTCATAGTAGCCTCAGGATATTAAGGGATACATTTTATTTGTTCTCCAGAAAATAATAAAAAATGAAAGGAATAACATCCGCTCTTGCACACCCAAGATCTTTAAATATAAGTAACAGCACATACCTTTTGTGATCTCAGCTGGATAGGTTCAGAGAAATCAGCATGAACTTACCTGTTCTGATCCATGAGGAGGCAGTATCTCACAACAAACATTTCTGAATCAAAAGTATGATGATCAAAGCCACACAACGAATGGCAGTTCAAAAATGAACAAGCCTTTCTTTAGATCCATCACTTTGACAAAATCATCATAAGAAGAGGATGGCTTTCTAAAACTTTATCGGTGTTTTCTTTCCCTTTAAGTACTTTGCAAATCAGACACACTTAACAATTTTCCGACATGTTTCTTGCATACATAGCACATGTTATTATATACATTTTAAACAATGGAAAAGCTTCTTTTAATCGGCTTTTAAATTTCAATTTACCCTCTAGATGTTATTTCTAGCCATTTATTCCTGAATATTATGGAAAATCTCACACTGTGCTCAGAGGCTGGCTTTCTGGCTTGCTGAAACCTTTATAGGTGGCCACCTAAAATGATTGCAATAGTATGGACCATTTTACTAACTGCAGGAACAACATGAAATAATTTATCCTGTTAAGAGCTCTGCAAAGCTGATGACTTAAATGCAGCTTTATAAATGTAGCTTTGTATTGCTTATACACTGGTTGTCTTATCACGACTTTTTTAAAAAATAAGAGAAACACATATATGTTAGAAAGGTATTAATGGACTATTAAGTCCCAGAAAATAAATCATATATTAAGTGGCTCTGTTATATTAAAGAATTCTAAGGGGATATGACAGGGAGAGAGAAAAAATGCACGCTATGAGCCCAGTTAATAAACACCTACAGACCAGCTTCTCATTTTTACATTTATTTCTAACAGTAAAATTACTTTAACACTGCAACATTTTCTACCTATCTTTAGCTAAAAGCTAAAATTTTCTTTGGTATCTTATATCGTGAACATCTATATTCATGTGAAATTATTTTCATATAGAAACATGGATGTTTCCTTATAGTGATATTTAGAAATACTTCAAGTTACTAATTTCAGTTACTGTGAAAGTTCCTTTAACACAAACCCTATCTTGCAAGCAGAACACATATTAAATTCTTGACCGGTTTTCACACATTTCTTTCTTCAGAGGAAAACAGTATGGTAGAAAGGGATACTTAACCTTTCCAAAGTCCAATATTTTTCCTTAGTAAACATCAACCTTGACAGTAACTTTTAAACCTCCAATAGACAAGGCTGGATTATCTGAGAAACCAGTTTTTATTGCAAACCTATATAGTCCTTAGAATTGACATAAAATGTGCAGAAGACTGTATTTGTATCCAGCACCCAAGCCTTCTCTTGTGTGGTTTCTACCACCTCTGTATTTAGAAAAATCTCAAAAAAAACCGTTTCATTTTCATCAGGTTTCTAATTATTATTTTTAATTTATGATTTAAAACTTTTTAAATTCCATATTTTAATTATGGTTAGCTATCTTGGGAACTCCCTTGATTACTAGAAATTAGAATAACATGTATGAAAGTGGGCTTACTTCTTTCTTTAAATTTGGAACAGCATCAGAGTAATTCAACAGCCTATTTTGAACTTAAAACAGTTGTTAGAAATTCCAAATATGGTGGTCCAAGCCCAAAAGGTGTTAAATATATTTGGTATTATGAACCCAGATCCATCACTTGCTAATTGATCATTCTATACGTTGATGGTAAGAGCTTAATCTAGGACCTTCTCTTTTTATAGACAATTTCTCTGAGCTACAGTATAGACCTTCTTCAAGATATGGTTATATAAAGCTTGAAAAGTTACTCAGGTATAGTATTCCATATCATGTTACAACTTGATGATAACTATATATTATATTATCATTCTACATTTCTAATGATAAAGAAAATCTGCTCTTTTGTTACATGTCCAGCATGGACCATTTCCCAAGTTAAATTCTGATTTAACAGAATTACCTCTTCTGGTAAACATTTGCTTAAAAAAACGTATCATGGGGAAGAACTTAGCTTCTAATGCAGGTGTATTTTGTAGAACCAGTAACGTTTACAGACTTCCATTTAAAAACTTTTGAATTATGCATGCATTTAGAAAAGGCCACACATGTATATGAGGATTAGAAAAACTTTTAAGAAGCAAATGTACTTCTTAGCAAAGCTCTTATTATTGTCTAGCACATACAGTTCCATCTGGTTGCTATAAAAAGAACATCAATACCTTTTAAAAAATGTATTTAAACACGAAAACAGAATGCACTCATAGACTTTCATACTGAATCAAAGAAAATAAAAACTTTCCATTTCTCTTATCTAATCCAGTTCTCTTATCTAATCCAGCTTGCAGGACACACACCAAATGGTTCTCAGTTCCCTACTAAACAATTCAGTTTTTAAAAAGGTGGTACTCACGGTCATTGCACTGATTTCCAGAATATGATGTCATGGAACAATCGCAAGTGAAGCCTTCCCACTGCTGAATACAGATGCCTTGGTTGGCACAGGAATCTTCCTGACAGGTGGTGCTTGGTCCTGAAATGGGATACCAAGAAATGCATGAAAGAAAGAGTAGCTACTAAGAAAGCGACACAATAGTGGATTATGAATTGTTATCTTCATGCAACCGCCTGCTCACCTTCCCTACCCACCCCCAAAATTGTATGCTTTTCCATTTCATGGAACATGCCACAGAAATTCAGGACACATAAAGACATGGAGAATTAAACACTCAGCAACAAACAGGTAACTTGTACACAGCAGAAGGAATGTATGAAAAGTAGCATATTCCCTCCTTGGTAGGGTCAGGGGGAAAAAAGGCTTATAAGTACTATTTCCTTCAAAAATGCTAAGACTTGTCATAGCCCTCCTATTCTCAGTTAAACAACTTCATTCACCAAGTGATCAGTCTTCCTATGCTTTTTTTCATAAATGTTATTTCCATGCTGCAGATATATTTTCTAAGGAATTTGGTAGAAACATGGACTGACAGTCTGTGAGGTGGACATCATTATGTGTGAGTTGGGTAGCTAAATAAACCAGATTAATTGTCTAGTAAATCTCCCTTCCTCCAAAAACTCTTCTGCTGATATTTGGGGGGGGGGGAATTAATAGGCCCTGGTGAAATGTCAGCTCTTTTTGATTTGTTCCTTTGCTTGTTCCATTTTCTTCCTTGTATGAAATTAAATACTTCTTTTCCATCATAGATGAGAAATTTAGGTTTGTACCAATAATTCTGCAGATCTGAGAATGTTTGAAATTGCACAGAGGCTTTTAGAAAACTGTCTATAACACATGTCTTTTTTGGATGTATTAATCTAATTATAGTTCTATTTGGACTTTGCAAGTAGTTACTACTGATTTTATGAGTATTTCACATAGTGCTCCAGTGGATACTAGTCTATCCTCTTAAATACTGTAGCACAAAGAATGAGGATTCAAGATGAACAAGAAATAAATTTGACTTGTTCCATGCTGGTGAGATATCTGAATATAATTAATTAGCAGTATCCTATGAGATTCATGTATCAAAATGGACCCCTATCCATTGTGGAATGATTGAAAAAATGATGATAAATGCTTTTGCTTCTTTAGCAATTCTGTCAAATCTACAAAGCAGAGAGAGATTTCTTTGACATAGGAACCAAGTGAATGATAAGTAGAAAGGAGATCCAGGACACATCAATATAGCTACTTTGTCATATTCCCTTCTATCCTGGAAGGAAATCTTGCTGTCACCACTGCATGCCATCTTCATGCATCCACTCAATATTCTAAGGTCATGGTTCTTTTGATGGAAATTTCAGCCCCAACCAACAATCTTTACCACATGACAAGATCTCCTTCAGTTTACATGCACAATGCTCTATTTTATACCTTGAAACCTCCCTCCCTCCCTTTCTTTTTCTACCAAAGACCAATTGTGTTTTTTTTTTAAAAAAAAATATTGAAACTATGGATCAACTAAGCAACTCTTTTGTATCAACCTAAAAATCCCTAGATGTTACCAAGAATTAGAGTATTTAAAACAATTTTCTGACTGGCCAACTGGACTCTAGATCCAAGTCATTTGACGTAAGATGGGCAGCATATACATTTAATAAATAAATGAAAATAAATAAAAAATAAGTAAATAAATATTAGAGGGCATTTTTTGAATCCCAGCTTCATGTTTCAGACCAGCCAATTTCGGATTTCATATTCTCTACACTGAACAGTTGATGGTCAACCAATATAATTATAAATGGGGGGAAAGTTGCTGCAGAAGCCAGGGTTCTCATTCTCCCTCACAGCTAAAAATGTATTGAAGAAAGAGAGAGAGAACAGGTTAGGCACTGCATAATCTTACAGGAAACCAGTAGAACCAGCTGGTTTTACAAGTTTGCCAACATGGAACATGACATTTCAGTCCACCTCCTCTAAGCTTTATAGTGATGACACATAGTATTTGAAAGTGGGATAAGAATACATATTCTTATAAGAATGCAATAGAACTCTGCAACAAAGGGTTGTAGAAGAGGTCTGCAACAAAGGGTGGATTAGGTTTAAAGCAATAGCTCAGCAATCTTCTTCTCTTCGGACATTCTAAGTCCTCATCTCTCTTTTTGAATGGATTTCCAAACAGATCCTCAATACTGTCACTTATATTAAATCCTTCATTGTCTTTCCTTCTGATTTGTAAAATATGCTCCTCAATGAGTTCTGAATCTGTGGCTGATGTTGCAGAAAGTGAATTGCTGCATTCAGTACAGGTTATAAACACACATATTTTTAATCAGTGACAAGAGACAGGTCCTTAAATACATCTCCACCTGGGTCCTCTTCAAAGCAATTCACTATTTCAACTGATTTAAAAGAGAATTAGGTATGAACAATAAGAGTAAGATGGTTTAATTACATCTGAAGCAAAAATCATATCACATACTATTTGGGAACCTCTAAAGTATATCCACTGGCACTTCAGGAAGTGGATCTATGGTTTAGTAAAAACATTATCACTAGATCTTTCCTTACATTCTGATTCAAGATAGAATGGGCAGTTAAATGAACTTGGTGCTCCTATATTAAATCAAGTTATTTACAAATCATTCTGGGCTTGTTATGTCTGGTTTGCATAGCGTTTAGTTGTTTGTGGAAACAAGACTATAATTGGTTAATCTCTGAACTGTATATTATGAATTTCCTTAATATCAGGTGTGAGACTGGGGATAAGCAATACTTGGCCTTCAATAAATTTTTTAGGCTCTAACTTTCACCATCTGTCATGATGGCAAATAGGAATCCAATGGAGCACTAGTAAAAGATGAAGCCAAAGATGCTTTCGCTTATATAGCCTACTTGTAAGCTTCCAAGAGTTACCTGGTTGAGGATTTTAAACTAGATGGGTAACTGGTCTGAGCCATCATGGGATGTATAGGATTTCAGATTCTACAAGGAAACTTATTTCTCCTATACTTCGTTGTGATTTATTTTTAGAATCTATTTGGTGAAAATGTAGCAAATTATTTGTTTTGTAAAATTTATACCTCCAACCCAGTGAACCATTTTTGATATACAGGTAGTCCATTTAGTGACTGTTCAAAGTTAAAATGGCTTACAACAGTTACATTTAGTGACTGTTCAAAGTTAAAATGGCACTGAAAAATGTGACCATTATGACCATTTTCACACGACCGTTGCAGCATCCCCATGGTCACATGAACAAAATTCATGATACTTGGCAACTGGTCCATATTTCTAATGGTTGCAGTGTCCCGGGGTCATGTGATCCCCTTTTGCAACCTTCCGACAAGCAAAGTCAATGAAGAAGCCAGATTCACTTAACAACCGCGATACTAACCTAACAACTTCAGTGATTCACTTAACAGCTGTGGCAAGAAAGGTCATAAAATGGGGCAAAACTCACTTAACAAATGTCTCACTTAATCTCATAAATGTTGGGATCAATTGTGATCATAACTCGAGGACTATATGTATAATCTTTACATTTTTGCCAGCAACACTAGATAAGGCACTTCAAGAACTGGCTTATGCCTTTTTATTTCTCTAGAATTGTAAAATGAGGGCAGCCTATACTGCTGTTATTTGGATTATATCATGAAAATTTTACAGTATATTACATGAAGTTAGTCAAACTGAGAGCTACCCTGGCTTATATTAATTCTGGTAGGGAAAATGCCAAACTCCTGGAAATCTAAATCAACTTCCCTTTTAAGCATCTCTCTACAAACTCTCGCAAATCTCCAAAGTGCCACCCCATGTTTGCAAGAAGAAAACTGAGAGCAGATAGTTTCTGCCATTAAGTCCCCTCGTCCATGCATAACTGGGTGGTAAATCTAATTGGATCACTTGTCGGGTTAGGGTCCTTCGTTTTACAGGCTGGAAGTGTGGAGAAACTACTTAGACACCTTATACCACATGGCTGGATGGAAACCTTGGTTTCTTTATTTCATGCTAGAATGAATCTGCTTAAAGCAATTGATTGTCCTTTATAAACACGAGGATGTGGACCTTTCAGATGCCCTCTGCAGTTTAAACTGGGTGCTGTCCTTCCTGATTTTTCACTGCTTAATGGGGCCCTGTGCTTTGAGTTTCTCATGCTTAGTGTTAGGTAGTAAATGCTTAATGACAGAATCAGTATTCCTGTTCTGAGAAACTCCGGTTTCCAATGCATCTCCAATTTAGTCAGGAATGTCCAAAGCATGTGGTCATTAAAGTCAATTGCCACAGGGGTGCAATTAAAATGACACACATTAAAACAAACAAAACAGAACTTCAGTGGCACTGTTGCAAATAACTTAAAACCCACACCACATGATATCCCTGCCCATGTTTCATGTTTTGGGGCTTTATTCTTGTAAGATACCTGCTGGAGGTTTTGAAGGAACCCTCGCCTAATTTGATTGACTAGATCAGCTTTTAAAGTACTTGCCAATTTATTGCAGACTAATCACCTAACAAATGCATAATTACAATTCACATGTTTCAAATACATTTGTGAGAAAGCTTTTACAATGCATATCTGGGGAAAAAAAAACCTTTTAGGTGAGCAACCAATCAAGATTGTGTGCCTGAAGCAGAACTTTACATGCATTTAAAATCTCTGGGGAAGAAGAGGAAACAAAGTGAAATTTTATCTCTGTGAAGTCAGCATGGGAATGCTAAAAAGAGTTCTGACTTTCAGCAGGGATGCATTTTTCTTTACTGGTCGTAAGTCAACTGTATAGATATTATATTTGCTTTTCAAATATAAGCAATTTTTACAGACCCTTCTTGCTAAGAGAACATCTGCCATTGATGCTTCTTTTCCTTACTAGGGTCATAACTCCTGTGTTTGTGACACTTGATTATCACAATAGACATGTCACAAAAATTAACAGGTCAATCCCCCTCCCCACACACAAACAAAACACACTCCAAAGTAAAATAAAGCTGCTTTATGTTTGGCCATTCATGACAGAAGCAAAAGGGAGCTAACTGATGTGCACTGAAGAGAAAAGGATTTAAATAATATATTTCTTCAAACTTTGTACAGGGTGTCAGAAATGCTGTTTTTATAAATGCTTTCTGGTTCTGCTTTCTTCACCTAACAAAACATTAAAGCCTTAATGCTACATTATGCAAATAATGTCATATCTGATACAGATTTCAGAAGAGTCAATTTAGATGTCAAGATTTATGGAAACACTGTTTGCATTTAAAACCATCCAGCTCAGTGAATGTCTCTCAAACTCACTATTTAAAGGAATATCTTACAGTGTTTTAGGAAAAATCACACAAGGATCTGCCAGCAAATAAAAGTAGAAAAAATGCACACTTTGATAATAGCCACCAAGATTTATTGTCCAGGTCAAACATGCTCTAGATAATACTAGATAACTCTAATATTAGATGATAGTATTAAATAAACAAACCTTACACTCAAGACAGCTACCAAAGTTTTGCGATTCAGCAGCTAATAACACAATTTGCCTAACATAGGATTTTGAAAATGCATTTACCAGAATGCTCAGAAATATTTTCATATTTTCCAGTGACATACAGAGTGGCCATAAGAGAAACAAAATTGTATGTGGACTCATGTCCCTGTCTAGTTTATCTATGATTTTCTACAAGTGAAGTTTTTGCTTGCCTTCTCTATCAGCATGACAACACTGGACATTCTGAACCCACAGCAATGCAATAGAATCAGTATGAGATTCCCGATAGACTGGAATTGAGAATGAGAAAGAAGCCATAACTGAATATGGGCCAATAGTATGATGCTGTTGCAAAAAAAAGCAAAAAACGAAATGCAGTCATAAACTGCAANAAGAAGAAGAAGAAGAAGAAGAAGAAGAAGAAGAAGAAGAAGAAGAAGAAGAAGAAGAAGAAGAAGAAGAAGAAGAAGAAGAAGAAGAAGAAGAAGAAGAAGAAGAAGAAGAAGAAGAAGAAGAAGAAGAAGAAGAAGAAGAAGAAGAAGAAGAAGAAGAAGAAGAAGAAGAAGAAGAAGCAGCAGCAGCAGCAGCAGCGTATTGTCAAATGTACTGTCAGACATTGTTTGGCTGATAAAGGAAAGGACCCCAAAGTAAAATTTATCAGCCGTCTTCAAGTACTTAAAGAGAGGATGAAATGCAAAGAGTTTAAATAACCAGGAAGTAGATTTTGGTTGGACACCAGGACAGCTGTTCAACAATGGAGCAGACGGTCTTGGGCAGTGGCAGACTCTCCTTGTTTAGAGGTGTTGAGAATCCTGCAATGAACAGGGGCTGGACCAGATATCTCCAGATTCTATTCAACTATTCCAGTCTATGTTTCCATAAGCCCTTGCACAATAAAATACAGGTAGTCCTCAACTTACACCTGTTGATTTAGTGACTGTTCAAACTTACAACAGCACTGAAAAAAGGGACTTATGACCATTTTTCCCACTTACAACAGTTGCAGCATCCCCGTGGTCAATGGGATCAAAATTCAGACACTTGGCAACTGACTCACGTTTATGATACTTGCAGTGTCCCAGGGTCATGTGATCCTCTTTTGCAACCTTCTGATAAGCAAAGTCAATGGAGAAACCTGTTTCATTCAACATCTATGTTGCTAATTTAACAACTACAGTGATTCATAAAAAGGGCAAAATTCACTTAAAAACAGCCTCATTTAGCAACACAAATTGTTGGGCTCAGTTGTGGCCGTAAGTCGAGACTACCTATAAATACATGTACAAGAATTCTACATCAGTCCAGAAGCTTGTTCGGTCCAATTTCTTTTTTTTTCATAGGGGCCAAAGAGATGCTTTAGAAACCTATAAGTAGGAAATACGGAGCCATGGTGGCACAGTGGTTAGAATGCAGTACTGCAGGCTAATTCTGCTGACTGCAGGCTACGAGTAGTTCAGCAGTTCGAGTCTCACTGACTCAAGGTTGACTCAGCCTTACATCTTTCCGAGATCGGTAAAAATGAGGACCCAGATTGTTGGGAGCAATATGCTGACTCTGTAAACCGCTTAGAGAGGGCTGTAAAGCACTTTGAAGCGGTATATAAGTATAAGTGCTATTGCTATTGCTAAATAATTCTCACAC